CCGAGCTGCTGGAGAGCCCAAAGCCCTGGAGAGGGAAAATCCAACCCTTGGAGAGGGAAAATCCAACCCTTGGAGAGGGAAAATCCAACCCTTGGAGAGGGAAAATCCAAACATTTCCGGTGAGAAGAACCCAAACCCTGGAGTGGGGAAATCCAAACTCTTGGAGAGGGAAGAATCCAAAACCTTGGAGAGAGAAGGATCCAGACCCTTGGAATGGGAAAATCCAAACATTTTCAGTGAGAAGGATCCAAACCATTGGAGTAGAAAGAATCCAAACTCTGGAGTGGGAAAATCCAAACCCTTGGGGAGGGAAAAACCCAACGCAGCTGGAGGAGGCCGACACCGTTAAATTCCCAAAGCCCCATCCAGCCCTTCCTGCCCCCCCAAATCCAGGTGTGGCCAGGCCAGGGTCTCCAATCCTGCTGGATCCCCAAGGAAAGCAGATCCCATCCTTCTGGATCTCCAAGAAAATCAGTTCCCATCCTGGATCTCCAAGGAAAGCAGCTCTGATCCCATCGGATCCCCAAGGAAAGCAGCTCTGATCCCGCTGGATCTCCAAGGAAAGCAGCTCTGATCCCACTGGATCTCCAAGAAAATCAGTTCTCATCCTGGATCTCCAAGGAAAGCAGCTCTGATCCTTCTGGATCCCCAAGGAAAGCAGCTCTGATCCCACTGGATCTCCATGGAAAACAGCTCTGATCCCACTGGATCTCCAAGGAAAGCAGCTCTGATCCTGCTGGATCTCCAAGGAAAGCAGCTCTGATCCTGCTGGATCTCCAAGGAAAGCAGTTCTGATCCCACTGGATCTCCAAGGAAATCAGTTCCCATCCTTCTGGATCTCCATGAAAGGCAGCTCTGATCCTGCTGGATCTCCAAGGAAATCAGTTCCCATCCTGGATCCCCACGGAAAGCAGCTCTGATCCCATTGGATCTCCAAGGAAAACAGCTCTGATCCCGCTGGATCTCCAAGGAAAGCAGTTCCCATCCCACTGGATCTTCATGGAAAGCAGCTCCGATCCCACTGGACACTCCGGGATCAGCTCTGGGATCGGCTCTGGGATCAGCTCCGGGATCAGCTCCGGGATCAGCTCTGGGATCAGCTCTGGGATCAGCTCCGGGATCAGTTCTGGGATCGGCTCTGGGATCAGCTCCGGGATCAGCTCCGGGATCAGCTCTGGGATCAGCTCCTCCGGCTGCGTTCTCTTCACCCACCAAAGGCACCACTGGGGCTCCAAAGTGACACTGGAATGTGACAATTCCCCCCCAGAACTCCCGTGGGCTGCCCAGGAAATCTGCCCCCCGAGGACTTCAGGCAGCTCTTCCTGGAATTCCATCAAAAAATCTGCGCCCGGGGTGGAAATTCCGGCTGGAAATCCTGGAGTGCGAGGAAACCAAACCATCCTCACCTCGGAGGGCACAGGGAGCAACTTCTGGCCATGTTTTTGGGATGTTTGGGGTTTTTGGGATGTTTGGGGTTTTTGGGATATCTCCATGCCCCAGCCCATCAGGAGGAAGGGCTGGGCGCTGATTAATTAATGAATTAATCAACTCTGCTCCTTCTGTGAATCTCTGCAGGGAATTCTGGCGCAGGCACCGAGGGGGAATCCTGGAATTCTCCTCATGGGAGGGGGAAAAAAACCTCCTAGGGAGTAGAGAAATCCCAGGGAATGATCCCAAATCCTCGGATTTTCAGCGGGACGAGCCCCTGGAGGGGTCAGGGCTGCCAGGGAATTTTAGGATTAAAACACCCAGCTCCAGGTGATGACAGAAATTCCCTGCAGGTGCTGCCTGGGGCAGCAGAAATCACCTGGAAAAACAGATCCATTCCATCCCTGGGATGAAAAACCGTTTCCATCCAACACCAAACCGTTTTTATTCCGGGGTAAAGCTCCCCCTTGGCACCTTTAACCCCGAATTAAGGAAAATTTCAGGTTTTTCCCGTCGATCCTGCTGGCAATGGGAATAAAAACACATCAAAAATCACATCCCAAAGGTCAGGACAGAACGAGGATTGCTGGATTCATTCCTGGATGTTGAGGATTTGAAGGTGACTCCCAGTGCTGCTGGCCCCAGGAAGTTTCTGGAATTCCGCTGGATTTAAACCATAATTTCCATCATTTCTCCTTTTCCCATCACCGTTGGACACAAGTGGATGGATACAGGGAAATTTCTCTATTTTATGTGTTCAAAATATTCAGGAATTGCTGCTTAAATTTTCATTTTAATTCCTGCTTTAATCCCTTTGAATTTTATGCTGTGAACGAACCCCCTGCACACGCTGGGGCATCTCTTAAATTCCCATTTAAATCTTCCCCCGCCGCGCTGAAATTTGAAAATATTTCTTTCAAAAGACGCAAAAATTAAATTTATATTAATAAATCCTTCCTTCAGCTGAAAACACAAGGGGAAAAAAACCAACCCAGAGTTACACAGAGCTGGGAAAAAGAGAAATTGCAAGAAATATTCCCCATCTCCCACACAGTGGGAGCTGAGGATCAACCCAGCAAACAAACAATGAAAAATATTCGATTATTGTGCTCAAACTCTCTCACACGCACACAAAAAAAAAATCCCCTCCTCGCCCTACGAATTCCAGCTGCCCAAAATTCCAACCGGGAGGATTTGGGGAGGAGGTGGGTGGGAATGAGGCTAAAAAAAAGCAGATTTTGGGGTGCTGGAGAGAGCAGCAGAGCCCGATCCCCAGGGATTGGAAACCCGGGAGCGCTTCCCAGAAATTCCCATTTAGTTAAAAGTTCCCAGGGAGTTAAAAAATGAGATTTGGGTGTCGAGATCTGCTGGGGTTTCTGGGCAGGCTCGGGGTGCAGGGTCGGAATTCTGAGCCCTTCCCAAACTCCGGGAATTCCCTTTGCCTCGTGGTCTCGGGAGGGTTTAAATCTCATTCCAATCTCACAGATCTCCCATTCCAGGGAATCCCTGGGATTCTGCTTCCCCTGGAGGCTCAGCTGGCCCCCGGAACCCCGGGAATTGGGAATGCAGTGGGAGCTGCGGGCGCTCGGCACGAGGAGGATGAGGATGAGGATGAGGATGAGGATGAGGATGAGGAGGATTCACCACAAAACTTCACATTTTTGGGACCGGCTACTCCAGGCTCCGACCCTGCCAAAGGAGCTCCGTGCTCCCAACTCACAGCTTACTCCTGGAGTACCAGCTCACAGCAGCTCAGCACTCTTTTCCCTGCCATTCCCTCCTTTTGGGACACCCCAAAATGTGGGATCAGGCAGAGCCCGGGCCCGGCTCAGCACCCGGGGCCGCGCAAAAAGAGATTTTTTTTCCCCTGTGAAGCGTCCAGCAGCCGGATCCAGGCGTGGGGACCCGGCCAGCAGGTGAGCACACCTACCTGGATGTTTTTTTCACAGTCAGTTTGCTGGTGGAGGGACAGCTCGCTCTCTAGCACAAATTTCTTCCCACATTTGTCGCAGATCTGCATCCGCCTGTGGGTGACGTTCATGTGCTTCTCCAGGTACCAGCGTGTGTTAAACACCCTGGGGCACTTCTCACAGGTCAGAGTCTCCTTCTCCTCGCACTTGGCTTTCTGCACAGGCGCCTTGGGCTCCTTTGCAGCTTTCTTCTTCCTCTTGGGGGGCTCCGCGCTCTTCCTGCGGCCCCGCGTGGCTCGGGGCGCCGGCGAGGCGGCGGCGGCCGCGGCGGAGGCGGCTCTCCTGCTTCTCCTCTGGCCAACGCTAACCTTCTCCTCCGCTCTTTTCTCCTTCTTCTTCTGCCTCTCGTTCTCCTCGTAATCGTTGCTGTCTTCCGTGGCCTCTTCCCCACTGTCACCCTCCTCTTCCTCACTGCTGCTCTTAAGGACAGCAGTCTCTTTGGACTGGGAGGGGACACCCTTCTCCCCTTTGGACACATTTAAGGTTTGGTTGTTAAGGTTTACCTCCACTATAATCTGCTCCCTTTTGTAAGTCACTTCATCTTCCTCCTCTTCCTCCTCCTCAGAGTCGTCAGAGTTTTCCCTGTCTTCTTTCACAGCCCGGACCTCTCCTACCGCTCTGCTCTCCCTGAAAAACGGCTGCTCCTCCCTCTCGTGGAGGTGGCCTTTGCTCACTTTGCTGTCCACCAGCACCGAGAAGGGGCTCCCTGACTCCCTCTTGTACACCTTGGTGGACAGGTCCAGCTCCTGGCCGGGGTAGAAGGCGGGCGGCCCCTCCTGCGCCATGCCGGCCCCGGGGGGCTCGCCCTTGGCTGCCTGGCTCATCTGGGGGGGCTCATGGGGCGCCCTCCGGCCCACGGGGCTGCGGCTCGGGGCGCC